CTGCATCTGTCCTCTCACCCTCCTGGCCCTCCTCCCCCCTCCCACACCACCCCTTCTCTGGTACCTGATTCAGCATGCTCCGGCATCTGGTGAGCAAGATATATGCACATGTAAGTGATGTACTCCCTTCGAAAATAACCTACTGACACAAGACCAGGACCGGAGAGAAGGCTTCTGAGCTTAGGAAGGGTGGTGCTAGTGGAAACAATGAGAGAGTGATTGGTTATATCAGACCGGATCAATAAACCTATCAATAATTGTAAAGCACTGAAACCGACGATAAAACTCTTTTTAATAGCACTTTTCATTAATACTGCCCGGGGCTCTTTATCATCCCTAATACAGCACACCTAGTTCTAGTAATCAGGCCCTGAGACGCAGTTCTTGAGCACTGAAATTAAGCACTTTTTGCCGTCCCTGTGTCGTGGAGGGCGGACCGTTGTTGACCGGCGCTCATCATGTTACTACCTCCATACCAACCCACACAACTTCAGATGCTTCTTACATGAACATGCCTCTAAATGCGTCTAATGTGCCTGTTTCGGACATCAACTTTAAGATATAGGAAATCAAGTGATCGGGATGATCGGCGGGCCGTGCTGTCGAATTATTGCAACAACTCCGAAGGACAACAGTCAATATAAGGGTTCAAGCCTGGCAGTATCATTGCACCGACGAGCTGCTCCTCATCATTGATTCTATTCGAATAACTAATATGCCTCGCCCTGCAACTCTGCCAGATTGGAAGGACATTCCCGCCGTCGAGGGTATGCCGGCAGGTACAGCCTGGGCACTCTGGGGAAAGGATGACACCCTGGGCGCACTCAACCTCCTCACCCCGGAGAACACCGTCCTTGCCGCCCGGGAGATCAAGACAGGCCTGCGTGTGCAACTCGATCTCCCGATGGACGTACCTAAGTGGCCCAGCTTTGGACGTCAACAGTTCGCCCACGAGATCACGTTCAAGCCGTGGAGCACCCAGGATATCGTGCACTACAACACCCAGTGCTCCAGCCAGTGGGATGGGTTCAGGCATATTGCCCACCCGCCAACGCTCAAGTGCGCATATCGACCATATCTATCAATCCTTCTATTGCTGATCAGATCGGGACAGGTTCTACCAGGGCATGGACATGGCACCCTACAAGGACGGCAAGGAGCCCACCCGTAACGGGATCCACTGTGCGCATTTCCTAGCTCTCTTCCGCACGTACGTGCTTACCCGCACACAGACTGGGTTGAAGCCGGAGGTATTGCCGGCCGTGGGATCCTGCTTGACTGGGCCCGCTGGTGGATGCACGAGCATCCTGGTCAGACCCTTCCCAACCCCTGCCAGTCTTATGCCATCCCTGTCTCCGAGCTCGACGCCACCGCCGCCTTTCAGGGCACGGAGATCAAGCCTGGCGACATTCTCTTGGTGCGTTGTGGGTTCGTCCAGTGGTACAACCAGGCCAAGGATGAGGATCGTAAGACTCTCGTGAGCGGGAATGACTTCAAGTTCATCGGTGTCGCACCCGGTCAGGAAAGCAAGGAGTGGATCTGGAACCATCATTTCGCTGCAGTGGCAGGTGATGCGGTCGGCTTCGAGAGTGCGTCAGCCTGTTCCTTACAACGTCCCTCGCCAACCTTGTTGACACCGTCTCCAGCATGCCCCGTTGCACGTGATCAGAACTCCCTTCACCAATGGCTCATCCCCCTCGCCGGTATCCCCATCGGCGAGCTCTTCAACCTCGAAGAGCTTGCAAAGGTTTGCGAGGAACAAAAACGGTGGAGCTTCTTCTTCACTAGCGCGCCGATCAACGTTCCCGGAGGTGTGGCTAGTACGCCAAACGCTATTGCCATCCTGTAAGGTAAGAGAATGAATGAGGATCACGAGCAGAGAAAACGAAGATCGGCATGTGGCTTGTGATTTCGGGTTGATTGCCATTGTAGGGCCTGGAAGAAGTAAAATTCGAACCATTGTTGTACTCCATGGCCCACGTGATCCTGTCCAGAAGTGTTCGCCCTGGAGCGAGCGATACCGAGGCATGGGAGGGATAATTCACTCATATCGTGTGCATGCTCAGCGCTATGGCAACTCATGGTCCACCGGAAGGCTTTGCAATATGGTATTATATCGGACAATTCGCCCACATATCCATCCGGTCCAGTGGGTTGTCGGTATGTTTCCCTTCTGCCTAAACAGTTTAACGGAATCCCGGGGTGTCAAACAAGTAGGATACTCATAATATCAGTAGATTCACGAAATCCGTCTGCTTGCTTGGATCGACCGGCGCGTTTCCTGTCAATCTTGCCGTGCTGCCTGTTCCTCGTGGCGTTCTCGAGACGGAAGACGATAGTCAAGCCCAACGCCCTCAGATTTTCCTCGAAGCTATAGTTTCTTTGGGGCGTGGGGATACAAAGCTTCAGGGTCACACAACGCGGTCGGGATACACCGATTCTCTTTTCCCTTCATGTTACACCTCTGGCAACTGCCTCTTTCCTCTCCCACTCATGCAGAGAGCGAATACTCGCATTAGGTCATGCGAGTGGTCAAGGCCCGGCGGTCCCCGACAGCAATCTGAGACTGACAGGCGTCCCGGCGGGTGTGTAACTCCACACGTGCTCGAGACAGCACATCCCCCTTTCTTCCCTTCACGATCACAATCGCGCTCAGTTTACCCTCTGTTCATCTTCCCAGGTAGGACTTTCGTAGAGCAATGCTGTGCTCGCCCAGCTTCATGCAATTTCAGGAATATCAATTGGATTGGATTCCCATCCGCTCGGGCCAAATTGTGTGCACTCATCGGGGAGGATGAAACCCGCTGGGTAAGACTTGCCAATCAATTGTTCAATTGGTAACCACAGTACTGGTACTGATATGTTCGTCCGTCGCGTAAATTCCTCATGTTCCTTTCACGTTACCGGCGCATCCCCTCCCCTCCCTTCCCAACCCCCGCCCCGGTCCCCGCCCCTAAAGTACGGCAATAGCATTCGGGCTACTCGCCACCCCCCCAGGGACGTTTAACGGCGCACTAGTAAAGAAGAAGCTCCACCTAGCTTCTTCCTCACACGCCTTTGCAAGTTCTTCCAGGTTGAAGAGTTCTCCGATCGGGATGCCGGCGAGCGGGAGGAGGTAGTTGTGTAGGCATTGGGAGCGGTCTGTGATCGGGAATTCTAGTACGTGGGCGTGTTAGGCTGGGAACTGAGTTGCACGCGGAATGGGGACTTACGTTCGAAAGCGACGGTATCACCCGCCACAGCAGCAAAATGATGGTTCCATATCCACATCTTGGTCTCCCTCCCCGGCCTGACACCGATAAAATGGAACCCATTATGTGCCACTCCGCGCATACGCGCCTCCTCCTCGGCCTCGTTGTACCACTTTGTAAACCCGCTGCGGACGATGAGGATGTCCCCCCGGCGGAGCTCGGTGTGTTGGAACGCAGCGACGGCATCGAGTTCCGAGACGGGAATCCCGTGGGACGTCACGGGTACGGGGTGGGGGACACCAGGGCGGGTAAGGGCGTGCCAGCGGTACCAGTCGAGCAAGACTCCGCGGCCTGCGATTCCGCCTGCTTCGACCCAGTCTGCGAGAAGTGGGGGGTTAGCGGGGACTTGGGGGACTAGTGGGGGGGACGCACGATGGATCCCGTTCCTTAACGTGTCCTTTTCAGAGATGACGTCGTCCATCGGGAGTCCTTGGTAGAACCTATGCGGCGTGGTCAGGTGTGTTCGGGGAAGGGAGGCGGGGGACGTACTCTCTCGTTCCCGGGTCTGCGATATGTTTGAACCCATCCCACTGTGCTCCGTTCCCCGTCAGCATTCAGCACTCCTGCCCCACCGTATGGGGAAACGCACCTGCGTCGAGCTCTGGGTATTATAGTGGACCTCATCCTGCGCACTGCCCGGCTTGAACATGACTCTATGTCCAAACTGCCTCCTATCAAAACTGGGCCACTTCGGCTTGTCCAAGCTCCAATCGAGCTGCACCCTTTTCCCAGACTTTACTTCCTGGATCGCGAGGAGGGTGTTCTCCGATGTGAGGAGGTTGAGTGCACCCAGTTGGTCGTCGGGGCCCCATACGGGCCAGGCAGTGCCTTCTGGCATGCCGGGTACGGGGGGGAGGTCGTCCCAATCTGGAAGGGATTCTGGGAGGGGCATTGTCGCTGCGTCGTCGTCGTCGTCGGAGGGTGAGGTGAAGAGGGACTAAATGTGTGTATTGAATTGTACTCCACCTTGCTGCTGATAGGCCCCCCTGACCGCCTTGTCTCCTACGGACCGGAAGGAGCGGGCGGTCCCTCTAGATGAAAGGGCTACTGATGCCGAGTTCCCTTTGTCCTTGGTGAAGATGGACGAGTCATTCGCCCCGGTAAGCGTATCCCGGTGTTCTGGTGTGGATCATCCCTCCCAGAAGGAAGCATCGCGTGCACCGGCTAGGCGGACCGGATTTGCCGTTCTACCGGGATGCTGTCTGCAGTTCTCGTCTTCCAATTGGGCGAATTTGGTTCTTGATCAGGAAAAGGTGTAGAGAGATATCCAATATTCCGAGGAAATACGCCAAAGGGGAAATACCTAGCCGATAAGAATAGGAAAAAAAATGAGAGTAAGAGAATAATGTAATCGAGAAACACAACGTCCATTCAACCCCATCGGCATTCGGTGCGGCATCCCTCCATCATTACACATATATTACCCCTCACTCTCCCCGTCCTTTCCCCTCACTCTCCCCACCCCTTCTCTCTCACTCATCAACATCATACATCATGCCCACTGTCCGCCCAGTCCGTGCAGGCGCTTACTGCCCAGTCGTCACTTTCTTTGACCAGAACGAGGTAAGTCCATTCACCATCCATTCACTAGTCCACTCCAACTCCTTTCATCCACGTATCGGCGCATCATACACCCGAATAATACTGACCTGACTTTGTTGACCAGGACCTCGATCTTGAGGCGTTCAAGAAACATTGCGTGTGGGTCGCAGATGGAGGCATGGATATCGTTATTGCGGGCACGAACGGAGAAGGTGAGTCCATTCAACCTGTATTTGAGTGCCACTTTGCTCACTTGTGCCCTCCACTCGCTCGTTCACTCCTCTCAAGCCGCCCACCTCACCCACCCCGAGCGCATGGCCCTAGTCCAAGCCGCCCGCTCAGCACTCGACGTCTCCCACCCCGACACCGTCATCATCACCGGCGCCTCTACCGCCTCCACACGGGAAACCATCCAGTTCTGTAACGAAGCTGCCAAGGCAGGCGCAGATGCCGTCATCGCCCTCCTCAGCACGCCCTTCGCGGCCGCGCTCGTGAATAACAAGGCCGCGCTGAAGCAGCATTTTACCGACGTGGCAAAGGCCAGCCCTATCCCAGTCATGATATACAACTGTGCGCCCCCTCACGCTCCCCCCAAACTGCTTCCTAACACCCCTCCAGACCCCGTAGCAGCAGCAGGCATCGACCTAGATAGCACGACCATCCTTGAGCTCGCCCAGTCCTGCCCGAACATCTGCGGCGCCAAGCTCACCTGCGCAAACATGGGCAAGCTCCACCGTATCAGCACCATCACTTCCCAACCGGCGTTCATGGCCCAGTACCCACGGAGCTCGGGCAAGGACGTGCCCTTCTGGATCGGTTCGGGCTACTCGGATTTCCTCTACCCGTCCATCCTCGGCCGCGCGACTGGGTGCATCACTGGCCTGGGCAACGTAGCACCCACGGTCATCGCAGAGCTCTACAAGCAGAGTGTAGCCGCAGTTGCCGCTAGCGAGAAATCTCTCACCTCAAAGACCCAGGAACTGCAAGACATCGTCGCCGCTGCGGACGGAGCGCTCGCTGCTACAGGCATCGGTGGGACCAAGTACATGCTTTCCAAGCTCCGCGGGTACGGGGGTATCCCGAGGAAGCCGTTGCCTGCGTTTGACCCTGCGGGAGGGGCGGCGCTCGAGGAGCAGCTGGCGCCGATCTTGGCTCTGGAGAAACAGTTGAGTGCGAATAGGAGCACGAAGGCATAAATGTCTGTGAACAAGAGGAATGGGAATAGGAGGGTAAACAATGATGTGCTTTTCTCATGTTCCGGTGTTCGGTGTGCCTTGTGGATGAGGTTGTATGTATGGGATATACCTGAAAATTAGACGTCGCAAACAAAGCTCTTTGCATGTTGGTCGGTTCTCGGGGGTTGGGTAAACTTGCCGTAGAATGAATCAGCACGTGTCTGTGATCGGTGTGATTGAGGCAACTCACAACATGTTCATTCATGTCAAGGTCATGAGCACAGACATGCTGGAATACCGCTACATGTATCGCTTTTACTCGCACTCCCGCATCCCCTCAAGCGGCAACAGCACTCACGTCCCTCTCTCACACGCGATGCTTAGCAACCAACGCGAGCAGCGTCTTCCCAAACTCTGCGCTCTCACCTGTACCTGCAAGGAAGACAACACCGTTCTCGACTTTGACATTTCCCTCTCCAACCATCGCCGGGCTCACCTCGGAGGGTAGTACGACCCGTTGGAGCCACTCGACCGCCGAGCCGGAAACGGCAATGGGCTTTTGGTGCATGTACGCTTCGCGCACCGCGTGGATCAGCCTGCCCGTGTTTAAGCCTTTGGAATAGTTCTCGCCGGAACCGCCAGCAACGTAGGTTGCGTCAAAGTGTGTCGAGCGGCAGGTCTCGAATGTGAACTGTGTGCTGAGAGACGTGGATCCGGATTGGACACTGCCCTTGCGCGGACCGACGATCATGGCCATCACGCCCTCGGACTTGAGTGCAGACTGCAAGGCGAGCACGGGCGCAGTATCAAACCCGTCCTGGAGGAAGATGCCAACTTTGCGGCCTTTGGCAGTGAACGTCTGCTCTTTGATGTCCACTTGGGAGAGGAATGCCGAGCGCATGCCATGGTTCTTGCACGTGTTCCGTCGGACCGGCTGTCCGATGTTCTTCGCTACCCGGGCTGCGAGGGAATGGTCGATCTCGTCCAGCCGGGTGATTATGCGCTCGTGGATACCAGTGTCATCAACCTTGCCAAGTTCAAAGGAAAAGGCGCTTGTGATGTGCTCCCGCTCTACGTCGCTCATCGAGTTGTAGAACAGCTGCGCCTGGGAGATATACTCGGAGAATTTCCCTCCCCCGCGCGCGGACGGTCTTCCCACTAACCGTAATGTCTGTGGAAATCTGGATCCTGACCGGAGAGCTTGAGAGCCTCATCCCAGACCAGCGAATGGACGCCGAGCCTGGGCTTCCAGTGGAATTTGACAAAGTGCCGTCTTCCTTCGGCGTTGACGAGGATAAAGCTATGTACCCCGAATCCATTCATCATTGCGAACGAGCGAGGGATGGCGCGGTCGGACATGATCCACATGAGCATATGCGAGGTCTCTGGCGTGAGGGAGAAGAAATCCCACGCGTTGTCGTGCGCCGTCTGGGCTTGGGGGATCTCGTTATGCGGCTCGGGGTTTACGGCGTGGATGATGTCGGGAAACTTGATCGCATCCTGGATGAAAAATACAGGAATGTTGTTCCCCACAAGGTCCCAGTTTCCCTCTTCGGTGTAGAATCGCACTGCGAACCCACGAACATCGCGTACAGTGTCCGCACTCCCGCGGGAGCCTGCAACGGTCGAGAAACGGAGAAAGACGGGCGTGCGACGCGAGGTATCGTTCAGTACAGCCGCATGCGTGAGCTCTGGGATGGGTGTATGCAAGACGAACTCGCCGTGAGCAGCCGCACCACGGGCATGGACGACGCGCTCAGGGATCCGTTCATGGTCAAAGTGCGAGATCTTCTCCCTATTGTGGTAATCCTCGAGCAGCGTGGGGCCGCGGGAGCCAGCTTTGAGCGACGTGTCCGTGTCAGCTTGAGGAACGCCAAAGTAGGACGTGAGGGGACAGCCTTTGACGTCGATAGTGTAATTTGCTAACTGACGGGCTTTGGCGCTCCCACCCGTGGCATAGTCGACAGCTAGTACATGGGTGAGGCATATATGCTTGATTAAGAGGATATATGCGCACCTGTTTGAAGTACTTTCTCAGTAGTGGAAGTCATCTCTCAAGTAGAAGGGCGTTTGATGGGTTAAGTTGCTGGTAATCCATCGAGGTTTATATACGTTTACAAGCGCTATGACGGCCACGTTTGTCGATCTTGAAACGAAGGCATGATCGCTCCTCGATCGCCGCCCAAATATGGTAACGAGATGACCGAATGCGACGTGAGAGCGACAGGCCTCTGACGTCATTCCACCGTCATGCTCAGCCACCGACAATCAACGTTCAGAATATTCAGCCAATACATAGTAAAGGTGACACACCGCAAAATACTTTTCGTTCACGTGAAAATGTCATTCCTATTTGTACGAATTCGTGAACAAGTTCTACCCGTTTTTCATTGTCGTATGTGTGCACCTCTTCAACCAGTTCCGAGCAGGCGATGTGAACCAATATTGTATATCCGTGCAACGAATACTCATACATGTACAGAATAGAACCAGACAAGTAGCATGCTAGTGAATACTTCACAATTAGAGTATCGTCAAGAAATCGAGGAACATAGGTACTCACTCATTTGAACCATAACGTACAAAAAGAGGATATACAGTCAAGTCGCATTACTCAGGAAATACCGTGGAATTATGTCTCCAGGCCTGCAGCCGCCTGATCGCCTCACTGAGCCAGTGTCGGTACTATCCCAGGCCTCGGTTCCGGTGTTGTGTTCTTTAACTTCACTATAACCATCACTAGGAAGCGCGGGCAGCTCCTCGACTCGTGACTCTTCTACTTTGAGGCGGGGTGTATCCGGCAAAGACTGGTGTGGAGAGCCCGTTTCGGATTGGCGCTCGTATACAGGACTGTTGTGGAGGGGTATTTGACGTTTGTCCACGGTGAGGGCAGAAGGCGAGTGGTTGCACCTGCATCATCGCTCTAACATCCGCATGGTTGAGCGGTGTCGAGGCGGGTAGAGCGCGGCCCGCATCATCAGTGTGGTAGAACCGTTTCGAATGAACTGGTTCGATTGGGTCGGCTTATCCAGAATCCCAGTACCACTGCTTCCCCCGCTCACGGACCGGGCGTGGCTTGCCGTCCTAGAATGACTCGGCATACTGCTGGCGAGCGTGCTGAAACTCGACCTATACGCGTCCGGGATAGACGGGTCGCTGTTACTGCTGCTGAACCGAGTTTTGAAAGGGGACAAGGAAGAAGCGGGTGTAACGTCTAACTCGCTGTACTCCGGGGGTGCACTCGAAAGAGCAGCGAGAGCCAACGGTGTTACGAGGAAAGAGGCGTCGGCGACGGGGACGTCAGGCCGGTTTACTCGTTCTTCTTCACGAGCTGTGGCTTCGGCTCTGCCACCGTGGCGAAGGGGGAGGACCAGGAAAATAACCAGGGCAATAAGAACAAGAACCGCAACTCCGCCAACCACACCACCGACAATTGCGCCAACCGGCGCGGTAGAGGCGGACGGCAGGGTGTTACCGTGGGCCTGAGTGGGAAGAATAGTGATATATGGCGCTGCTGCGCGAGAAATGATTGGTGGGAGTGTCGGCGACTGACTTTCTCGTGTTTTGTTCTCCACGAGGTCTAGAATAGATGAGCTGGGGCAAATGCATGTAGGAAACATACAATCACTCCCTTTAAGGCGTCTTGGAATTTGGATGCTCACATCTACCCTCAAGTTCTTGGGAGCGATGCCCCTCGCCAGCTGAAATGTGTCTTTTAGTTGTAGTTCATGTTTCAGGTGAACAGATCACTCACAAAATAGGAGGCAGAATTATCGTCCGTCTCGACGAAAATATCGATCGCATGCGTCGTCACATGCGTGATAGGGCCATTTGAATAATCCTGGTCTACACCTGGGTAAAGTACTTCGCCGGAGCCGAATCCTGCGGGCAGGTCAGCTCTTCCAAGCGAAATTTTATGACGGAGAAAGGCGGACCGTTAGTACCGTCCCATACCGATCCGTCCGTTAGCGTCTGGAGGGTGCCGCTCAGCCCTCCCCTCTCCACCAGGGCCTCCACTCCGTCCACTGGAAGCGATCGCCGCCCACTGCTTACACCAGAGGTATTGTTCGACACTATTTTACATGTCGGTGCGGTGGCTTGGAAGACACTCGGTGGGAGGTTCGGGTCTGACATTCTTGTGTTTCATTGATCACCACCACTTCTCTGGAAGTCAGGGTTCCACACTCAGGGGTAGAGAGGGAACACACTGTACTGGCCTGAAGGATACGGTATAGAAAAGCTCTCGTCGATCATCAAAGTCTGGGGATCAGGTTTGATCCCTCTTGCGAGCTGCCCGACTTGTGAGATGGGTCTCAAACGAACAGCCTTGGTTCCGCCCACGTGATAGGTAGTAGATTTGTCCGGTGTCGCAAGATAAAATATCCATCGAAGTTGTCGTTACTTGGGTGATATCCTGATAAATGTAGGAGGTATCGACCCCTTGATATTGGATATACCCGAGCCCAAGTCCTGTATTACTGTGAGCTACGATCAAGGTCTAATGTGAACAATGCACCATATGAGTTGTCCCAAGCTGTTCCATCACTAATATCCAGTGTTAAGACGTCAAAGTAAATGCCGCGGTATCTACACATACTTCGGTGTGATCAAATATCCACTAGGGCCTTTCTCCAACGTCCCACGCGGTCTCTCCCCTCTTGAGCCCAGCAGCAAAGACGACAGCAAAGCCAGCATGATGGTTGTCGACTTGGAAAAGATAATCCTAATACTCCTTTCAGGAGAGGATGCCGGTTAGCATGTAGTCCTGCGAGCGGATACTGCAACTTGTCCGCAATGTGGGATGCCCGAGCTTTCAGACAGCAGGGTATTGCATAGCCATTCCCGCTGGCCGGCGCCGGCGTACAGGTCGATTCGCTGGTACGCTGGCGGATCCAACTGTCGTCCGCACAAACGCATAGCGGCTGATGAGCTTACTGGTAGACTAGCGCTCAACTTCGGTGGGATCATCAGATGACAGCAATGTCGCACCCGCATTGTTGGCATTGTAGCAGCACAGCTGGCTGTGGAGTGGTTCCCTGGCGCTGTGTTTAATTTCCTCGCTGACTGGGCGACGTCCTCTTGTTGGTTTCAGAGTGCACCAGTATTAGAACCATAACACCAAGTTGACAGAGATGAACAGAATTCGTTGATACTAATTAGAAACGGAATTGTGCAACACATGCCTCCGTGCTTCCGGAAGCACTTTCGGACCCTGAAAGGGCAAACTCTTTTTTACATCACGACTATCATGATGACAACTCTACAAACATACGCACTGCCGTACCTCCTCTCGGCGAACACGAGACTAAGTACACCACACAGGATACTTTGGTGCAAGTCAATACCACCATTCATCTAGTTTCACAAATCAGTGTCAACCGGTCGCCAAGCTGGCGCTACCCCCATGCCTCTAGGCTTTGCTCGCTGATTATCATCATCGATATCGTTCATCCTGCTATCTCTTCCCTTCCGAAAGTCATCCAATATGCTTCCTAATAATCCATATCAGGCCGGAATATACCTCGCGAAACCAAAGCAGACCTCAGAATGCTGTCGAAGCCTCTGTGAGTGCCGTTTAGCCCTGTTCTCGATATAATTATCCGATCAACTGTCTGTCTGTCGCGCAACCTCTCGCCTTGTATATCAGTGGCTCTCTTCCGGTTCATCGTTGATGTGGTTGAACATGGTGGGCTTAGGATCACCGGTTTACCTGTCAGCGTCGTCTGCCCAGTAAGCTGCGCTCAACGAGCCCCTCATATGCATAAACTCTTATTCATTCCGCTATCTAGCCTGGTCTTGAACGCAAGCGAAGATAGTGTCATTAACTCAGTGGGGGAACCAAGCCCGCATCTGGGATATCATCAAATCATAAACTCCACCTGCGCAGCGGAGGCGCGACTCCGACAGGCCTTTCCTCAAAGGGACGGGAGGGATCAGTCTGCTATCAGACAAGGAGTCCGAGTTGAGGTTGAAATACATTTAACCTTCTATCACTCAGTGGAGTGCAGAGTGCGGCTGGACGCGTTACTTTAAGATTGCACAGAAGAAAGAATCCAACGTCGTTGCTCTCGAGTAGATGGGGCTCTGTTCGTTTGAATGCTAATAATAGTTCGAATGAACGTGCTTCTCAACCCAGAGGGGAAGGACCTGCGAAACCAACACATCCGCCTCTCGACCCCCATCATTGCCCCGTGGAGGGCAGCGGCGGGATTCCGCGGGCCGGTTCCCTGTTCTCTTTCGACGGAAGCATCACGTGTAGAGGTAAGGGGCCCCATGGGGCCTGCCCAGTGCTTTCCCTGACCTGCATCACACTGCGAGGGCGGCATCCAAATTTGAAATGGGACGACAGCTTCTGTTGGGCGCCCATTTGTTTGCGTTGCGGAGGTGTTGTGTCTTAGCTTTCGCGCCTGACCAACAATCCTCAGAAGCTGTGGAGGCACAATGTTTGCGGTCCGGGCTTCGTTTTCGGGCCGCTGCGGTGGCTGTCTCTTTCAGGAACGACAACCGCGTACTTAAAATCCAATATCTAGCTTCCCGACTTCCTTTTCCTCCTTCAGGCAAAGCGACCTTTCCCGCACTCCGGAGCAACTGATACAGTATCTTGTACGATCTTCACGATGTCTGACGACAATGTGCCATCCAAGGAACACGCACCCGACATGGAGAAGCCCTCTAGCGAGACAGATTATAAGGATCATGTTCCTGAAGATGTTGTCATTCCCTCTGATCCTGCATTTGAGAAGAAACTCGTGCGCAAGGTTGTTCTGCTTACAACCGCAAATACACCTACTTTCTAACGCACATGCTTTGCCAGATGGACAGGATGATTGTTCCCACCCTCATGGGAATTTACCTCTTCGCATACTTGGATCGCGGCAACATCGGAAATGCTCGCCTCCAAGGATTGCCTCAAGATCTTCTTAACGGTGATGCTTCGGGTCAACTCTTCGCATGGCTTAGCGCTGCTTTCTATTTGTAAGACGGACCATTCATATGCAAGCTGTGACCTGATACTTCTTGACAAGCGCCTATGTCGTCTTCCAGTATCCAACCACTATCTACGCCAAGAAATTCAACCAACATTACTGGATCGCTACAGCTTGCTTCGGTTGGGGCTTGGTCAGCTTACTTCAGGCGACGGCGTTCAATTTCGGGTCCATCTTCATGTGCCGCTTCACCATCGGATTCTTCGAGTCCATGTTCGGCCCGAACATTGCTGCCTATTTCAGTCAGTTTCATCCTTTTCCCAGCGGCTCGTCTTTTCTGATTTGGTCATTCAGCGTATTTCTACACTCGTGAGGAAATCGGTAGGCGTATTGGTGTGTGGTGGGCAACCGCGTCCGTTGCCGGCGCCTTCGGTGGTCTCCTTGCATATGGCGTCCAACACATCCAATACAAGTTCAACCCCTGGCGATTCCTCTTCATCATTGAGGGTGTCCCTGCCATGCTCATCGGCGTTGCCATCCCATGGATCTTGCCCGATCGCCCTGAAGAATCCAAGCATTTCAATGCTGAGGAGCGTGCTCTTGCCATTGCTCGCATGAAGCGCGGTGGCACACCCGAGACAGCCCGCACGCTCTCTTGGCCTCATGTCCGGATGGCGATCTATGACTGGAAGATCTACTGCGCTGGTATCACGTACTTTGGCACAAACTGCGCGTTATCTGCTCTGGGCTCTTTCTTGCCTACAATCATAAACCAGATGGGTTACTCTGCAGCAAATGCGCAGCTTTTAAGTAAGTTATTTCGATACCGATTGAGGGGATAGAGTTTGCTCATATAGTGGTTCAGCTGTTCCTCCTTATGCTGTCGGTGGTTTGTCTCTGTGCGTAATGAGCTTTGTGTCCGGTGAGTCAATTTTCATCACTGCCATAAGTTCCTTGTTTACAGTCGCCGCATAGACCACTACTATAATCGTGGTATTCCCATGATTATCTTTACAGCCATTGGCGGTACTGGATACCTGTGAGACAGATTTCACATGTTTACCTTGCCACACACTAACGGCATCAACAGTATCCTCTGCGTCGCTCAGACTTCCAACGTCGCTGCGCGGTACGCTGCCACTTTCCTTGTCACCATGGGTACCTACACTTGCATTGGAATTGCAATTGCATGGTTCCCGTTCAACATGGGCTCAGAATCTAAGAGAGCAATGGGAATTCCCATTTGGCAGTCCATTGGACAGTGTGGCTCCATTCTTGGATCTTACATTTATCCGAACACCGATGCACCCCGCTTCATCCGCGGCTTTGCAGTCACTTGTGGTCTCTTCTACTTTTCGACTGTCGTAGCCATCGTCCTCAGCGTTTATATCTACTACGAGAACGCACGTCGTGACCGCGTGTATGGCAAGGTAGATCCGAATGCCGAGGTCGACACGTCAGAGCTGGCCGACTATGCTCCCAACTTCCGGTATGTCCCTTGAACAACCCTCCCTCAATTCCAGAATCCGTTTTCCTTATCCTCTAATAAAATATACATATCGGTACTGTGTTGTTTATGCAGCCTACTCTCGAGTGCGGATGTTCGTTCTCTGGTGTATACGACGAATAGTCACGTGATTTTACAGTATGACCGTCTTTGAACAGCGATTTCTCCACATTCCACTTATCAATAAATTCCGTGAGGGTTGGAACAGATACTAGGTAATCATAAAAGCAATTCATATGATTGGAATAGACTTGAAAATGAGGTGCACTGGTGTGGGAGGTTATGGAAGCGTTTTGCCGGGAAATGGCCGAAATCCGCCTCCGAAGTCGTCTCACGCGACTGACATGGAGGCTCAGACAATGCGCACACAAGAGCTTCTGCCTCTTGAGCATGTTTAATCTCATCCACAGGCTCTCTGCTTCCAGATCCAATCTATATATATATGTTGGAAAATTGATATACCAAAGCAAGTCAAAGTTGTGTCGAGGGCATATACCACCTCTTGTCCTTGTAGGGACTCATGCTCCGCAACCACTCACCATAGCCCTTCAAAACTTGCTCTGTGCACAGAGGAGATACTCAGGAACATCTTTTGTTACTAGACATTTGCCTTAACTATGATGTGTGGTGGGCGGGAGGGAGAACTGAGTAAGACAAGCACCCGAGAAAGGGTCCGACTCGCATGCATTAAGTTCCCTAACCAACTTGGTGCACTTAACCTCTTCACACCCGAAAATACCCTCCTCGTGATCACTCCTTCCTTCCAGTCCGTAGGATGCCCACATTTAGGCCAAGCCACACCTTATCCTCCTCCTCTACGTTCCCTAGGCCTCTGATGCACCCGGTCGGCGGAGGATGGATGGCTAGAGGAAATCCGAGTAGCCCGGACCGATCCAGAAGGGCACGTTCTTGCCCGAGCTCCTGGGCCACGAACGCCGGTTGGGAAATGATGATACTGATACGGTAGAGCTTGCCCATGTTTTCGCAGGTGAGCTTAGCACCACAGATGTTCGGGCAGGACTGGGCGAGCTCGAGGATGGTCGTGCTATCTAGGTCGATGCCTGCTGCTGCTAAGGGGTTTGAAGGGGTGCTAGGGAGCAGTTTACGGGCAGAGCATGGGGGGACGTACAGTTGTAGATCATGACTGGGACAGGGCTGGCCTTTGCCACATCGGTAAAATGCTGCTTCAGCACGGCCTCGTTATTCACGAGCGCGGCGTCACAGAGCGTGTTGAGGAGGGCGATGACGGCATCTGCGCCTGGGCAGCTTCGTTACAGCATTGGATAGTTTCCCCGCAGTAGAGGTGCCTGAAGAACTTTGCGTGTTTCGTGAGACTTTCTATGTGATAGGTTAGCCCAACTCGCGTCGCTCATTGAAAGCTTTTACTTTGCTTCCATGGGAAGCGAAAATACATAAGCAAGAAACAGGACTTTGCTCCAGGGGTCCACTCGCTTGACAGAAAGTGTCACGAAAGTTGGAAGTACTGGGCGCCGGTGATGATGACGGTCTCAGGTGGCAACGAGCGGAGTAAGTCAGCGAGTGTGTGCGCACAAGAGGGGTGACTGGACGGCATGAGTTAGCATAGTATGGCAACAATACATGTTTGGATTAGACACAATACATGTTTGAATTAGACTATGCGTACATCAAAACATACTTTTTGTTCCCTTCAGTTCCAGTTTTTTGCCTGGCCCGAACCATTCCTGGAATTGGACCAATACGTCCGGGGTCCACGAAGCCTGCACCTCCCTCTTGAAATACCACACCAGGCGAGCCAGGCGGCATTGTGGCCCCGCCACGCAGTTCTCGCAGCAGGTCGGGAGGTCTGTCGAAGTCGGGAGAATGCAGTGGTTGGGGCCATG